GAGGAGAATGTTTGTATCTATTAATAAAAATGCCAAGAACTTCTTTTCAGGTTTTTTAGAGTAATACTGTCACTCTTTAGAGATGTTTTATCTGATTTTCCTTCTTTGCCCATTATGATCTAGTATTCAAGAAATTAAAATTCTCATTTCCATATTGGAAACAGTGGAGAGGCAAAGGTAAGGATTTACCTGGAAGGAAACAATGATTTGGAGTTGTTAAAACCTTGACAGAGTCTCTCCAGCAAACAAGTTCTTAGGTTCTGTTAGAGGTGCTAATTAGGTGGCTGTGATCACACCTCTAGATGTAAAGGACTTTTAGATTATAAAAAGAACAGCATAATCAGCATCACCTTTATATTTCTATTCTGTTTTTAACTTGTTTCTTTCTTCTCTTTTATTCATAGTGGTAGGGAAAAGATTTTGTTATTCTCATCCCAGGAACAGATTTGCATACTTTTTTGTTGTGTTATGCAAATCCTTATCTCATTTGCTACATCCTGAATATTGAGAAGGACTACAGACTGTCCATTTTCCACAAAGAGGAAAATAAATAACTCCTCACAGTAAATGTGCAAAAAACATTGGAAAGTATTCTACTTTTCTTGCCTTTGTTTTTTTGTTTGTTTGTTTGTTTTTATTTTTATTTTTTTATCCTCACCCGAGGATATTTTTCCATTTTTTGTACTGATAGAGTGGGAGGGAGAGAGAGGAAGGGAGAGAGAGAGAGAAACATCGACGTGAAGGGACACATCGAGTGGCTGCCACCCACACGACCAACCAGGGCCGGGGACAAACTGCAACCGAAGTACGTGCCCTTAGCGGGAACCGAACCCGGGTCTCTCCGGACCACAGGCCGACGCTCTAACCGCTGAGCAAAACTGGCCAGGGCTTGTTTTTAAATAAATAAGTATATTGTCTCACAAGTGATTGTCCAGGGAACTCAAATTATTGTGTACAGTATGTTAACCAGGTCTAGTAGTCTCAGAATCTTTTTGTTGACTAATTAAGAGAAAGGAAGAGTGGGTGAAGTCTACAAAAGCTTGTGTTAATTAAGGAATCTCCCCCACTGGTAGAAAATCATGTTCAGATATTTTCACATCATTAGCTCATCAGAATATCATTTTGCAGAATGAAATTGTTTTAAGAAGCCCTGTAAATGGACTGAGCCCTAGTATTTGGATAACTACCATTTCTTAAGAAATGGACTTTGGGCCTACCAAGAAAACAACTCATCTTGTGTGACATTTTACTGCAAGGAAACAGTATTATTTTAAAATCTTTGTTATTTAACAAATGAAACATCAGTTTATTTGGCTCCATTTCCCATCCCCAATAAAGAATGGGATACTAATTAAATAGTTGATAGGCAGAATCTGGGATACTAAAAAAGGTCTAATGTAAGAATTATAAACAATTTTCATTCACTAAGATTTATCTAAGGATAATTTTAATCATTACTTTTTATTCTCATAAAAAGAAATATCTTTATGTAATAAAGTTAATTGTTCACATTTAAGAATTTGTGAATATGATAAAATATAAATTTTTTAAAGGACATAATTTTTAGGTAGAAAAATTTGAAAACATGTATTTGCAAAGATATATACACCCCTATGTTCATTGCAGCATTATTTAAGACATGGAGATAACCAAAGTGTCCTTCAGTAGAGAATTGGATAAAAAGATGTGGTACATATATACAATGGAATAATACTCAACCCTAAAAAAATAAGTAAATAAATAAAAATGAAATACTGCCATTTGCAACAACATGGCTAGACCTTGAGAATGTTATGCTAAGCAAAATAAGTCAGTCAGAAAAAGCTAAGAAACATATGATTTCACTCATATGTGGAATATAAAACTGAAACTCACAGACATAGATGTCGACAGTATGGTGGTTATCAGAGGAAAGGTAGGGGTGATGGAAGATGATTTGACTTTGAGTGGGGGCATACAATGCAATGTACAGATCATGTATAATGGAAATATGCACTTGAAACCTACATAATCTTATTAACCAATGTCACCCCAATAAATTTATATTTTCTATTGCGTGTGTGTATGAACATTATTTTTTGACAGGCATGATAGCTACTCAAGGCTCTTCATGTTCCTTTAGTAGTCCTTGCATTTGTGATATTCAGATTAAAGGGTGCTCTAAATGTAGGAATACTAATGATGGATTTCATAGTTTGGGTAGCTTTTGAAGTGAGCTCTTATATGGTACTTTCGCGGTATGTGTGTGTGTGGGGGGTTTGTTTGTTTGTTGTCTTGTTTAGATTTATTTCTGTTCTATTAATAAAATATCACCTTCAGAGATTTTCTTCCAGATTTACAATCAAATATACTTTGTGATTATATACATAGGGAAAAACCTATATTTGTATTATATTATGGTTGTTTTCATTAAGAATTCTGATTTTTCTTTGCATTTAATCAGTTTAGGTGTAACTCAATAATATTTTAATTTATATTTATTTTTAACACCCAAAGATATATTCAATACAGCTGTTTGATGAACAGTTCATTATAAAGTTCATCATGTTTGCTGTTGGATCTTGGGCTTCATTTTTCAAGACTGTTTTAGAAAGAGATAAATGAAGGAGGAACAAGGAGAAGCAGACATAGACAAGTAACTAATTTAATGATATGCTACATAAATTGGAAAGTGGACAGAAAAGCAAGGGTAGTATTATCAGAATAATTATTAGACACTTCATTGAAGTGCATTTTAATTTTGTTGATTAAAATTGCAGTATATCAGTAGTATAACTTTTTAAAAGTATGAACTCAAATAAAAGAGTGTTACTTAAAAGAGAAAAATAAATTGTGCTTTTATGTGGACTGTAGAGTATATCCACCTGCATTTGGATCTTTTTAGTTCTTCCTTAAGTGTATTATAAGATCAGTCAGTGTGGGGAAGACACAAAGAACAGTAGAAGTCAGTTAAATATCTCTGATTCAATATGTTTTTAATAAATATGAAGCTGAAAATCGGCACCCTGCTTCTCAGCCATACTGTGTAGCACATACTTTGTAGCACAGTGCTCACAAATGTTTAACATGTAACTATTCAGTAATTGGGAAGTGGCAAATGTTCCCAAGTGTAGATTTTCAGTGCTTTGTGGACATTGCTCACCTTCAATTAGTGACAGATTTACGAAAGCCTGGAGTTCCAGCTTTGCGCTCTGTCTCAGCCTGACGTGTGATTCTGTCACTGCTGAAGTACAGATTCTTTTGCTTCTCATGGTTGATAGCATTTCTCTTCTAAAGACATTATGATTAATGTTGGCAAACAGTTCTCTGTGTTCAGCAAAAATATAGAAATTGTAAATATTCTTTCAGCTAACACTTATCTAGCACCTTAATATGTATGCATCAGATAATGTTCCATGTTCTGGTGACATCATACCCATCTACTAGAATATGTATATAACAAGAACTGTGCAGTGTGTTAAGTGATGTGAGAGTGTAAGTGCAGAGTATACTAGTAGTACAGAGTAGGGCCATTTATTCCAGATATGGTAGGAGGAGAGAAAGAAAGCAGGGATCAGGGATGCCTTCCATTAAGGATGACTCTAGAGGTAATGAATATCTAGTCCTAGAAATATGGGATCCGTATTATAGTGATAGATTATGCAGGGCAGATAGCCATACAGTATGACTAGATCTAAGATAGAACTGAGGATTCTTCCTTCCTCCACTTTGCCTTCTCTTTTTCCCCATATTTTTTTCTCTCTCCCTCCCTCCCTCCCTCCCACCTTATCTTACTCCTCCTCTGTTTCTTCCTCTCTCCCTGCCTTTTTCTCTCCTTTCCTCTCTCCTCACTCCTTCCCTCATTACCAACTGTATAAGGACAGAATTATATTAATCAAATTCTTGGTTCATGGGCTAATATTATCACTGAATAGTTTCTGGCCCTCCTTCACTCCTTTCATTCACTCACTTTTGATGCTATAGCTAATACATGTTAAATAGTAACAGTTAACAATACACCTATCTTGTTTTTTTTTTTTTTTTTTATTTAATCTCTTACTCTCCCTAAAAGGTAGCTATTATCCTGAGTTGTGTATATCATTCTTTTTTTTTTTCTTTCTTTCTTTTTTTTTTTTTTTACCTCATAACCTAAACAATACAGTGCTTAGTTTTTTTAACTCAAGAAAAATATGATATTCCTCTATATATGTAATCTGCTGGTATTTTTTTTCCACTCAATATTATACTAATATGATTCACTATGTTTTTATTTGTAACTGAATTCATTCATTTCTATTTCTATTATTATTCCATTGTGTGAATATACCGTTAGTTGTCCATTCCGCTGTTGATGGGCAGTTGAGTTGTTTACGTTGTGCTATTATAAACAGTGCTTCTGTGAAAGTTTTTTACTTGCTGCCTAAGACCTATGTGAAGGTTTCCTCAAGCGTATATCTCTGGAATGGAAATACTGGCTCATAGTGTATTGCAGTGGTTACATTTCAACGAGAATGCCAAATTGTTTTCCAAAGCTATTTCACCAACTTGCATTCCCACCAGAAATTTAGAAAGCGTACATTGACCCACATTCTTTCTAACACTTGGTCTTGTGAGATTAATTTCTGTCGATTGCATGCCATGGAATGTGAATGGTATTTAATGGTGTGTGATTTTGGTTTGCATTTCCCAGGTTACTAATGAGATTGTGCATCTCTTGCTATATATATTGGTCTTATGTGTTTTCTCTCATCTTTCAATTATAATATTTTGTTAGTCTATACTAGTAAATACTTGCTATTTGTATATTTGCAGTTGTTGTGACATCTTAATCCAAAAAAGATATATGGTCATTAAAGTGAAATAGATATCTTTAATAGTATAGAAAACAGTGGGTGATAAAATTCTAATAAAGGATGCACAATCCAATAGTTAACAAATTTAAAAGGATAGGAAATAATTCTATTTCAAAATTATTTTTATGACTTTTTTTCACAGCTTGATGTTTATTTTTCTTTTGATAGAACGATTTCGAGATTTACTGCTTCCTCCATCTAGTGAAGACTCTGAGATTCTGCCCTTCATTCAGTCTAGAAAATATCCCAAGTAAGCAATAGAAGTTCACTGGGTATTGCAAAGGGAATGGGCAAGTAAGTAATGGGAGAGACTTGGGAGGACAAAGACAAAATGTTTTCTTTCTTAAGATTTCTGAAAAAGCCAGAATAATTTAACCTAATTAACTTGGGTATGCAATATAATATCTCAGGCTCTGCACAGCTGGGTCAGAGAAAAAAGACTTGCTTGCAAGTGCACCAGCTGTGGCTGGGAACTGTTGCAGATGCCAGCCATACTGTCTCCATCAGTGTCTGGCCCTGCGTTCCTTTTTGCTTGATGCTGTCTCAACTGGGACAGATACTTTGTGGTGATCCCTCATCTGGTTTCCTGTTTCTATATTATAAATGCAAGGACTCATTCATATTGTAATAAGTGATTTACAAACACCCACATATTAGATGTAATTTTAGAAATTTCTATATATTCCTCTTTACTGTCTTTATAGTTATGAGAAGTAATATATCTTGACCCTTTCTAAATGGGGCAGACCTTTACTCTCTTATATGCCACACATATACTTATTGCTTGAAGGAATATTTCTACATCTTCAATAAAGAATTACCAGGATTTTTTGTTTTGTTTTTAATTAGGCATCTTCTTCCTAAAGACTCTTGGATGCTGGTATCTTGATCCTTCCTGTGGATGCTTAGAGTTCCCTCTACTCTATGAATGTCTGGCTCTCTTTACTAGCTAGTATTCAAGAGGCTAAAGAATGAATGAACTAATATCTTAAATAAAAAAGGAAGGTCACCAAGTTAAAGAATTAAGGCTTGTTTTACACATTTTTTCTCAAAACTAATGACTATGCTAAATGACTCAGTCTTTGATTGGTTAGACAGTTTATTCAAGTATTTACTAAACTTCTCTCACTAGGATAACACCCCCCCCCCCATTACTTAGCTTTACTAATATTTACTAAACTCTCAAAACAAAAATAAATATAGAATCCAAATTATTTGTTCATCGTTTTAGATAATAATCCTGATTTAATCTCTAGCAATGATCTTCCAATGCCCTCCCAACACACACAGGAACATACATGTGCCTGGACAGCCTGGGATGCCTACATTATTCTTTCATGTACAGACTGACAGGTAGGAGGGAGGTATCTGAAGTGGTCGATGCATATCTACCAGCATTTCTTTCCTGAACTGCTATTTGTTGAGGCTAATGATACTTGCTTTTCGGCCTCTTAGGCTACTGTCTGCCTGATTTTTTTGCTTAAACAGGGGAATCACAGTGGTTTCTCAGTTGGTAATCAGTTTGCAGCTATTTCTCTAGGTTTTTTTGACTATATGGTTTTAGATGTATTCTTCTTTTTCTTAGATTACTTTATAGATAGTGATGTGATCCATTCTAATACTTAAGAGCGTCACCATGTAACAATCTTTTGTCACTGTCTGGTCCTTGGGGTACATATTCTTTTAGGTATCTGTGAATTAAAAGAATAAAAATCATCCATTGATGCCACACACACCATATTACAGAGGTTAAGTGTGTGGACTCTGAAACAGAATGCCTCACCAGCTGATGTGGTGACCTGGGACAATGTAACCAACCCTCCGTGCCTCAGTTCCACTTGTGTGAAAGGGGGCGATGATAATACCTACAGTCAGGGGTGTTATGAAGATTACATAAACAAAAAATATTTAGAACCCAACGTGCACATAGGAACTCTCCATTCTAACTGCAAGTTTTATTATTATTCATTTAAAATTGCAAATAGAATTAACTGGATTTGTTTATTTCCAGAACCTTAGGGAAATAGATTATTGATCGATCTTGGAAGGTAGCTCTTACATTACTATCAACCTGCCCTTATTAATACTTAGAGAAGTATATTTATTTGCTATTTCTAAATTATTGCTAGATGCTAATGGGAAACATTGCTTTGATGACCACTTAACATTTTTATGAGATTCAGTTTTCCAAATTATCAAATGAAAGTATGTTAATTAAAGATTTCTGGGTCTGAATAATATGTATGTAGAAATCTTGAATTAAATCTAATTCGTTTATTTAAGTTACAGAATATTAAGCTTTGCATCTTCCCATTGTCCATTTAATGTCTGGTTTGGCATGGGGGGAATAATAGAATTCTATTTGTGCTGTGTCTGGGGAGGGCTGGATTGGTCCAGGGATGGGCATAGGAGTTACAGCTCTGGGCATGGAAATAATGCGCATGTGAAAATTGTTGGGAAAGGAGAAGAGAGAGTTGTGGTGAAGGCAAATTAATAAATACAGGTGGGCAGGGATTTGTGTATGTCTTGATCTAATTTAAACACATTTTGGATTATTTATTGTTTTAAATATTCTTTATTCTCTTATTTATATTCACTCTCATGCTTGCTCTCGTTTATTCATTATTGAAGATAACTGAAAGTCAATGTAGTTTACATTTTGTGACACACAAAAATTTCTGGAAAGCTAAAAATTTAATCAAACCATTGTTATTTGTTTCTTTTATTCACAACACAGAATACCCTTTACTTTGAGATCTTCTTCCTTACTTTTCTGGTTGTTTTACTGACTCACTGAATATAGACTTTATGATTTAAGAGCTAAAACATGGGTGAAGAAATAACTTATTTGCCCTATATTATGTGGTGTCACAGAGTGATATTTACAGAACATATTTTAGGTGACCTTTAAGTGAGACTCACTCTACACTGCTAATGTAGTCTGATTAATGGACTGTGGTAATTTGGGTTGGGGGTGGGTTCCCTAGTCAGCATCATATCACTGTAATCTTAAGCATCTTGTTATCAAGAGACACCTAATAGATAAGGATACACAGTAAAAGGTATTCTTTATTTCAAAAGGGAGGGAAAATAAAAAGGGAGAAATATTCATGAAGAACTAGTTCTTGAAATGTGTGTGTGTGTGTGTGTGTATGTGTACATGCACGTTTTAAGGGAAAGCTATTTCAAAAGTATTGCAATGGTGCTGGGGAACATGGTTCCAAAACATAATACTGTTCATTAATTACATTCTTACCTTCGTGAACTCACACTTGACCCATTGCCAAAGCCCAGCACATCCATTCTAATCAGGATGTAACTGAGGACAAATTCTCAGAGCATAAAGAGGTGTGACTATTCATGAAAGACAGAAAGAGGTAGATGAATGAAAAGAAGATAATAAATATATACTTAAAACAATGTAAAATGTTGATTCATAAATTAGAGGGAAGAAATAGAAATAATGAAACTTAACTTTTGTTCTTCGTTCCTTAGCTGGTGTCGTTGTTATTAACTTTGAAGGATTTAGCGTTAACAAGTGTTCAGACTAGAAGGTAGCTATAATTAATCCTGTTCTTGTAAATGCATCTTGGAGATATAAAACAGTTCAGCACTTTTGGCATAATTTTACTCACAAGTGACATGCAACTATTTCAGCAATTAGGCCAACAAAACATGATTCAATCACTCTGGAAAGTTTAACCATAATGTGTATAAACATATTGTAAAAATACAGGAATAAGATGTTGCATATCTCTGTTTGGTTCTCATAAAGATCAAGTTATCTGTACACTTAGTGTCAGAACTGTTTAGAGAGAGGAATATTATTTAAGACAAATTCAGAGCTGTTTCTGTTTAGCTTGGTTTGACACCAAAGAACAACCTTGAATGTTTGGGCACTAAAAGCAATGTCTTGAATCAATGTCATTCCCAATGGGCTGCTTAAAATAGGCTTCAAACGGTGATATTGGGCAATATACTTAAACTGCAAAACCTCAGATGACCTTTCCAGATTTCATCTATTCTCCGGCTTATCTTCTTTTTTCTTCCCAAAGAAAGTTTTGAGTTCTTCTTCTAAACAACCATCCCTCTTCAATATATTTTTTCAATCTGTCTGTCTACAATATATTTGAACTAAGTTATTTCTATTAATAATAAAAAAAATATTATTAGGAATAGCGCTTAATTCCTTTTACATGCCAGGAATTGTGTGAAGTGCTTTACATGTGCTATTTCACTTAATCTTTACCATTTCTCTGTGGGGTAAGTAGTACTATTTCCCAAATTTTCAAATTTCCCAGATTAGAGATCTGGGATATAAGGGTGTTAACCCCCTTACCCAAAATCACATAGAAGAGCTGGGTCTCTCACTCAGGTCTCTTTAGCCCCCAAATTACACTTAATTGTTCTATACTGCCTCTCATTCATTCATCTGTCCACTCATCCATTCATCTGTTCTTCACATATTTATTAAATAATTACTGTGCACCAGAAGCAATCGCAATTACTGAGAATATAAAATGATTAGGGCATAGTATATGGTTTTGAGGGGCCTGAAGTCATGTGGTGGGGGGAGCAGAATCAGAATTAAATGGAGAAATTAATTATAGCAATGTGATAAGACACATGATAAGAAATGCACTAAATTCAATGGGAGAAGAGAATAGAAAGTGCCTTCCTATGTAGGTTATTCATATGAAGCAGAGTTTTGCCCTTGAGTAAAATCTTGACAAGTGCTATGTATGAAACCAGATGAAGAGGCTTTTTAGATGGAAGAAAGAACATAACAGCATGAGGAGCCACGGAAGTGCATGGGGCATTGAGAGATCACCTTCACGTGTGTGTGTACCTACACATACATACACATACACGTACACATACTCATACACATACATACACATATTCAAGGGATAGGGATGTAGGAGAAATGAGGTCAGGGACTACTTAATGGAAACCTGGATTGCCATTTAAAGGAGCTTAGACTTTGTTGTGGAGATAATGGAGCGCCATGAAATAATTTTAAGCAAAGGAGCAGTATAATTAGATTTATATTTTTATAGGTTTATCATGGAGCCAGAGAGGGATATGAGCCACCGCTGGGGGCCAGCACACTAGCTAGTTGACAATTTTATATTCAGGAGGGAAGTGATAATGAATAATACTGTGGTAATAGTAATAGAGAAAAGCAAATAGATGTCTGAGGATATTAGGAGGCATAATAAATAATGTGAAGATTATCAAACAAGAGGG